TGATAATTCTTATGGCTCTTTTTTGTAAAACAAAAAATCTGATTTGTAATTGTTTTGCAAGCTTTACCCCAGATTTCAACACAGTAAATTAAATGTGGAACAATTATTAAATTGTACAACACAAGCAGGGCTTTGTCACTGAATAACTCCCTGACTTTATACAGTACTCATGCAGATTTAGATATTTTGGTTCTTAAATAATGAATGTGAGGTCTCCACGTCAGCTTGTCATTGATGATGACACCCAGAAATTTCACCTCACTGACTCTACAGATCTCAGTACCATCTACTTTGAGAAATCAACAGTTGGCTTCCTATTACTAAATATCATATTTGTTTTATCCAAATTTAATGATCATTTGTTTTGTTGAAACCAATTTAGTATTTTCTCGAATTCTTTCTGTACCATCTCAAACATTTTTTTTCTATATCTTTACATAAACAAAAAAAATGTATCGTCAGCAAATAAAACACATTTGAAAAGTCCTGACACATTTACTAAGTCATTTACATATAAAATAAATAACTTGGGTCCCAGTACAGAGCCCTGAGGGACTCCACATGTGATTTTACCAAGTTTTACCAAATTTATTCCAGTAGTTTTCAGTAATGTGCAGTTCTGAAATGCAGGTAGGTCCTCAGTCATCAAATCACTCAGCTGACTTCTATCAGGCTGGCCAACATGACGCTCTGTCAGAAGTGACGGAGTTGTTTCAGACTGATATTTTTACACAGGTTGTCTCAGAGGATTGAGCCAGGCACCAGCACACCACGAGCCAAYGCCTCCAAGGAGGATCTTGTTGGTGAGTTTGATCCTAGATTCCCTGTGAGAGTTCTYAGTTCCTTCATTTTTAGTCCAGTCTTATTCTTGCTTACAGGTCAAGAAGCGTCATCTTCTCCTCTTTCTGGACGTAAGGCTTCTGTAACAGTTGAAGTCCCAAATACACCTCCATCCCCCAGGAACCTGCTGCCCTATGGGCACAGGAAGTGCCACAGCCTGGGCTACAAGTGAGGGTTTTTTTTTAGTCTTTGAGTTTTTAAAGGGATCCCTGATTAGTTGTAACATTAGACTTTATTTAATAAACATACATTTTTACTGTAAAATAAAGACTGTAAAATACTGTAGGCTGTTTAGTTTTAACACGGACAGAGCCATTTTATTTCCACACAAAGCATTCTGGGTAAATGATGACGTGGATAGGTCCTCGGTGCGAGGCTGCTAGCGAGCTA